ACAGCGGACGATACGACGGGCTCGACATCCCTCTGATCTCCGTCGAGTTACTGTAAATATCAAGCCTAACTTAGCCTACGATGGACAGTCCTGTCATTCGTCACGAGCTTCTACATATACGAAGACCCAAAAACGCCGTTTTGCGAGATGCGTTACTATTCCCTTTTCTTCCTGGCCCTCCACGCTTTGTCCGCATCCCTGGCTTCCCCTGGTCCCGAAGGTGTTTCTCATAGGAGAATACAGAGGGGGATCCCAAATATACAGAATAGTAAACTTGTCGATGCATCCCTACGTGTGGGTACTACCATCACAAATCGTGGCAATGCTCGTCCAGATTCATTCGTATACTTACTCTGCACACAGTATGGAATCAATGTGAACCTCTCTGGGGCCGGTAGGAGCATACACCGGTGTTTTTGCGCGATGGCTAATCTTCTATTCCAGCATTAACTCTGGTGATTGACACCGGAAGTACAGACATGTTGTACGTGCCCGTATACGCCCGATCGCTCTGTTTGAAACAACGCCCTTTTGCCGCAGCATACTTCATCCTACCAGCCCACTTGGTCCCTTCAACGAAACCGCAGCCGTCGCCGCACTTGGCTATGCCGACGGCACAGGCGCCAATGGCACTGTAGGCTTGGCCAAACTCGAAATTTCGGGTTACACAGTTCCTTTCCAAGGTAAAGCTTTAGTTTCCCGGAGGAAAATTCCTGACAAGTCCTGTAATGCAGCATTTGTAAATGGTACAAGTGTACGTTCACATGACTTGAATCCGAATGTTGAAAACTGAAAGACACTAGGGCGACGACTTTAGCCCTTTCTCAGGACTTATCGGCCTCGGTTTCGATGATCCCAGCGATCCCATTCCGTCTGCGTTGACCGCAGCTGGCCTCAACAGTAGCAAGATCGGAAAGTCGGTGTTATCCAACATCTTTGATCAAAACCCGGAGACGCCTCGATTCTTCGCTGTATCATTATCGCGCGATGGAGATAAAGGTGGAACAGCCGATGGGGATCTGACCATCGGCGGGTACGATCCTCGCTATGCAGACGTTCAGCATGCACCTCTGTTGCCTCTATTTGGAACCGGCTCCTGGAATATTTTGATGGACGGCATATTCTTGAACGGTGCTCAGATTCCGTGGGCGAGAGACCCAAAGGGAAATATTCCGGAAGGAAAGGTCCGCGGGCTCCTCGACACTGGGACAACGGGTCTTATAGTACCCCCGGATATTTTCGATGCAATTTACTCGTCTTATCCTGGCGCTGTTCGGACCTCGCCGAATGCCACGGCGGACGGACTCAAAGGAGCATGGATTGTGCCTTGCAACGCAACCATAGATCTGCACCTCACATTTAGGTATGCGGGCGCTGAGTACGACCTCTGTCCTATCTCACAAGTGAACTTTTTAGCCATCAGAACTTCACGGTTCATCCACTGGACCTGTCTGACATACAAGTTTTTACCACGACGTCGGACAACAAAAGCTTCACGGTGTGTACACCCGCTTTGGGAGAAAGCGATGCGTGGGGCAGGGATGCGATACTTGGTCAAAGCTTCCTGCGCAATGTGTACACTGTGTGGGTAGCTTTTTACTTCCCTTCGTGGTCAATTGCTCACACTAGTGATTGTCAGATTCGGGTTCGGAAACGCAACAACCGGACCGTACGCCCAACTACTTTCACTAGTCGACGAAAGCACCGCTGTGGCTGATTTCATGGCCGTTCGATCGCCGCTGCTGGCGAGTGGACAGGCTCCGGAGCTGTCACCAGCAGCATTTGCACGACTGGTTGCACCCGACCAAAAACCGAGCATGGAGTCTGCCTCGAGCTCCCCGTCCGCATCTTCGACTTCCACACCGTCCTCTTCGTTGTCGTCCTCCTCGACGTCGATATCAGCTTCCGACAAGAGTACGGCATCTTCCTCGAGCTCTTCGTCCGCATCTTCGAGTCCCACGTCGTCCTCTTCGCTGTCGCCCTCCTCTGCGTCGACGTCATCTTCCAACTCAGCCGTGCCCGATCCCACCAGCACCAGAACAGCCGACACACACGAGGGAAATAACCTTGCACAAATCGACCTCGCAGCAGATGCGCCTTCGGCCCCCTCGGATTCGAGGATAACCAAATATGCACCAGTCGTGATAGGACTCCTCGGCGCGAATCTCGCAATTCTTCTCTTCCTTTTGGTCCTGGGTGTAGTACACATGGTTAGAAAAGGCCGGGACGCAGGTGGCCAGGGCGGCCGAGATGTTAGATACACACGCGTGGAGCTGAAGGATGAAGCATTCTAGTGATAACTGTATGTTCATTCCCAGGTAGAACCGACCCATCAAACGGGATGAAGCGGAACTATACGGAGAATCAGAGGAGGAAGGCGCGGGGGGTTCGGCGACCTACTCATCTGAAATTGTGATGCGATTCCTCCGCTATTCAAGTGACGCAACAGCATGTGCGACGGAAGGCGGCAACATTGCTCGTCCTGTTACGAGAGCTGTTGTTCGACATCACCCGAGGCCACGTCTGATACCTATTAACTTCGTTTTAGATCCGCTTTATCTTGCCTGGGAAGAAATGTCTCCGATGGAGGCTAGGCCGTGTTGTCGATTGGGAACTACAAAGCAGAATTCGTCCAGGGTGGATTCTGTGGTGTCGTGAGTGACACAGAAAACACACAGACTAAGAGCTCTGCGAAGAAACACACCTAGGGGTAAGAAGAAGATAGATCGATCCGTAATGTCCTCGTGGAGCGTGGCGCTCCCCTCCGGGCACGTAGAATGTCCAAAGATATCCTGTCGCCATCAGAGAGCGGTGGTTCGACTCCACCCGAGGGCCCCCTTTCGTTTTGCGGTATTGATCTGTGACAGATGCGAGATCCAGTTCGGTGAGCAGGAGCTGGGAAGGGACTATCCTGCGATCTTCTCCCTGGACGTGCTCGCTCAGAGCAGAGAGACAGCCGTTCAGGGTGACATCACCGCAGTAGACTCGCAGCCAGAATCTATACATCACGATGAGCGCAACCGTTCCATCTTTCGATCCACATCAGAGATTCAGAGCCGCCGCAGGAGACGAGGGAGCGCCAAATCGTAACTTCGGGCAGCAATAAGTGGGCATACCTGGAGTGTAGAGCCCGGGTCCTTCAGTCCCAGAGAAAGAGAAAGAGGAAGTCGACAGAAGTTGACAGAAGTGAAAGAAGATTGTGGTTTAGAGTCGCCGAGCGGTGCAGATTTTTTTCAGGAGTGAAGTGGCTTGACTGCCACTTACTTAAGCCCACTGATTCGTCGTTGGTATGCCCTGAGCTGATGGACAGCTGCCCCAGAGTAGAGACTGGACGGATGCTGTATAGCGCCGGGATGCAGGTTTCCAGAGTCGAAAGCGAAAGAACATGACCGTCCGCAGCAAGAGACAAGCCGGCCCGGCGGCCGAAGCTTGACCGTACTTGTATGTATTGTCCTTTGTTTACGTGCACCAGACTCCTGCTCTCAACGGCCATCTCCGCCGCGTCTCCTTCTCCATGGTGAGCCCGCCGAAGGCTCTAGCTCTCCTCGAGGTAGCGCCCGGGGCGCGAAGCTCGAACTCAGGCATCGTCGAAGAGCACAGCAAGTCGGACTAGGGTTAGGGGTACCGAGGCACTTGTCGAATTGCCGCTTCGTCGTCAAATCTCCGAGGTCGCGGTACGTCTATGTCTTTTGAAGTTCTATCTCGCAACTGCACTGATTCCACGATTATGCCGGGGCCGTGCGCTGGCGCACTCCATGGGTGCTCCGACGGAGGCGGCGCTCGTCGAGCAGCTCTAGCCTCTGTGCCGCCACGTCGGCAGCTCCTTTCGCACTCTGGGCATCATCAATATCAACACTTGCCTCCGCGAACCCGCCTGCCCCGGTGACACCGCCCCCAACCTCCACGCCTTCGTCGACCTTCTCGTCCTTCTCCGCGTCCATCTCGAACTTGAGTGTCGGCCTGCTGGCGTCGCCGACCCATCTGTTAGCGCACCGGCGAACTCCTCCTCCCGCCTCTACGATAGCGATCAACTCTATCGGCGCTGCGTATGAGCTGGGTTTCTTGCTCCGGAGTGCTGCCCTCGCTTTCGCAGCCTTGCTCTTCTGCGTGTGGATGCTCCGCCTGCGCGTTCATGTGGGACCTCCTCCCTCCTCCCTCCTCCCTCCTCCCACGGTCATGGCCGTCCACCGCATCGTCTCCACAATTTCGCACCCGCATATACACGCGCGCACGGATTTGTCTATACTAATCGCTTCGCCGCCGATATTCATCCACTCTGGGTGCATTTGCCTCCATTCTGTTCGTTAAACTTACTCAGAACTTGCGTCCCGCTGTCTCTCTCGCTTCGCTTGACTTTGCTCCCGCTGACGGTTGCAGCGGCCGAAGCCTCGCCCGCTCCGGGCGTTTCGGCAACGTGACCCTGAGCCGCCTGGACGTTCACCGGTTCAGTGTGCGGGCTATCTCTGATCTCTGTCTCAGTGTCTGATCTGCATCCCCTCGCGCTGCGGAGCTGCGTTTAGTAAGCCTATCTTGTGCCTTCCAGACGCGAATCGTCAGGAGATTTTCGTGTGTAAGCGTCCGTAACAAGCGCGGAACAGAGCGAATTACCAGATTGCAATGGGGTAAGGGCATGAAGCTTCGGATGTCGAAGATCGGATCATATGCGTCTCGACGTAGAGTGATTGCAAGCCCCCGCAGGATACATACAACTAACAGGGCAATAGTCTCTGAGAGTGCAAATGCGCTAATACATTAACAGTCACATGAATTATTGATGCTGCACATACATGATACACCAGCAACAAAAACGAAAGACGCAGATGGAAGCCGGGGAGAGGAAATTCATACAATCCGATTCTCTGATTCCGGAGAGGTTCGGGTGTCCCGAATCCCGCTCAAGCAGGGCGACCCAACCGCCGCCAGTGCAGCTTGAAACGATTCACAGCGAGTGGGCAGGCAAAAGAGGCCCAGCTTCGTATCGGAGGTCCACGGGAAAAAATCGACACCTGTGCGATTCGAACACACGCGGGCAGAGCCCAACACCTTCAGGCTGGGCTGAGGTTCATAGCAGGGTGTCGCCTTAACCACTCGGCCAAAGTGTCGTACAAGCACATCGGATATCTCCGTCCTTAACCCTTTTGGCATCGCCCTGCGGTACCTTCAAGGTCATTGCAATCTCCGCATGCGGAGAGAGTTCGGAGCGGCGTTCCGGGAGTCTGTCTTTCTTTGTGCTTCCTACGTTCCTTGTTCAAATCAGAAGTCTGCTCGTTCGGTCGGCAACTGTCACGTGCTACAAACCCCTCGATGGGGAATCGTGATTGGTTTCCATATGTTATGTTCAAAAAAACAAGGAAATTGAGGGTCTGCTGACCCAGAGAAGGGCGCGTTGCTATGACAGCGAAGTAGATCCAACCTTATGTAACGATTGAATATTGAATATTGAATGACGACGAATTTGGCGAACACTGAACGTGTCCTTTGTAAAGTTGGTTATGATATAGTAAGTATTTGTACAGCGCTATCCCCTCCCCCTCCTCTCAGACCGGCGCGCAATTACGAGGCTTGTCAGTATTGGAAAGCAAATCGAGAGCGAACAGGAGCGATTGGATCGGACGGAGAAATAAGTCAGAGGGATCTGCAGGCGATTAATATTCAGCAAATTAGTCGGTGCAGTTAGGGGCAATAGGCGACGAACATCTATGAGTGTCATATTAACTGTGATGATCCGGGGTAGCGGGGTTGTGACGCCGAATCTACTCTGTAACCGGCATTAGAAAGGGCAGCGACATGAGAACAAGGTCTAGGGCGCACTGAAGGGGCAGTTCGAGCTGTGGGGATGTCAGTGCGTTGAGGGAAAAGCTGGACGGGAGAAGGAAGGGACGCACGCATGCGAGCCGCCGCGCCAGCCGCAGTGCGCGCATTGGGGGCCGTTGGAGTCCACAGTCGCACTGTCCTGAATAGGTGCGGTGGGGGTGTGGGTGTTCACGGGTGCGGCGGCAGCGGCATTCGGGGTGGGTTTCAAGTTAGCGGACATCGTACTAAGTTTCGAGTCGACGAGGTGTGGATGGGAGTGGGAGCGGGAGTTATGAGAGTGCGCGGGGCTATGTGCAATCTCCCCTGTAGACTCTCCGCCTTTTAACCTCCTCGGCTAACTGGCGACGCACGAGCCCGCACCGCAATCTGCATTGAGTATCATTATGAATCCGAGTCTCGGATCATATACAGTGTGCCGGCCGTTGCCCAATGCGGCACCCCACCGCCCAGCGGCGAATTAGGCAGCCCATCGATAACAGGGCTGCGCTATCGATGAGGACATGGCCATGCCTCCGCGCAGCGGGGCTCGGAGGCTTATCTATAGGCTGGCGTGCGTGTGGAAAACCACGGGCTGATGAACATTAATGCTGCTTTTTGTTGCGATGCGATGAGATAGCGATTAGACTTGTAAATGTAATGAATATCTGCGCCACCTAGTAGCCAAAATTGCTCATCTGCATCAGCGGTGGATGAGAGCGACGGGCCACGCTGCGTCCCGGAACTTCAACCAGAACCAGATCCGCGTTCGATAACCCAATCTCGATAACTCAATCTTCCCCCATATATGCATATTGAGCCTTCCATTCTCTCGACGGCTTGGAATGCGACGCAGCGAGGCCAGCGCGTGTCGGAAACGCCGGCCTTGTAAATACTTGTAGGCATGGCGCACTGACACTCCGAGATAGAGCGGGCCGCGTATCACTGCGTTGAGACCCTTTGTAGACAGACTCTGTCTAGCATAAACTACGTGTGTCTATATTGGTGAACCTCGGTGTACATCTGTCAATCCATGTAGACAGCCCCTGTCTACATGGGGTCTGTCTTGCATAAACTACATCCGCTCTACATGTGTCTACCCACGGTAGACAGGCTGTGCATACACGTGCCTAAGTGGCTGTACCCCTGCCGGCCCGCTTTGACCGACATAGACACAGCTCGGCAACCCTCAGTCTAGCGATTCAACTGCAAATCCAACAGCGCAAAAAAATCAAGGTCAACTCAGTACAAGAAGAGCTGGGCAGAGGTACCTCTGCCTACATCAGCCTACGTCTGCCTATGGGGGTAGGCACACCTTGGCACAGATTCACTGATCCCCACAGGGGCTGTCTATCGATATACGCACATGTAGACATAGGCATGTGTCTACACCTCTGTCTATGGGGGTAGGCAGACCCTCTGTCTTCAGGGGGCCTCAACGCAGTGTATGACCGGGGCCTTCCACGCGCCCGCAACGGCGTCCGTGGGCGCTCACAGGACGCCGTAAAGCACCGCCCCTGCGGTGCCGCACCTATTTTCAGCAAACTTCAGCGGCCGCGGTCGATTTAGTAATGCGAAGTCGGACTCGAGACAGCGCCAGTGCAGAGTAGGGGGGGGGGGGGCACGCAAATTCGTAAGTCATGTTGTGAAGTGCAGAATTCAAGAAGTGCGCAAGCCAAGCGCAAGCGTAGCCGCCATAGCTGGCTGCGGCCATCACGCATCAACGTCAATCCTCGGCGTTTGCCGCGTATCTACTATTTCTGACTGGGTACCTGACCACCTAAGTAGTTTGCCCCGTGCTGTGAAGCAGCAGGTGTGCCTATATGATTGGTAAGGGCTTAGCATGAAGGCCTACATCTTAGGAGCTATATAAACCAAGTTTCGTGAATTTAGGTAAGGTTTTGGGCTTGCTGCGAATTTCTTCCGGCGGGATGTCCGAAAAAGGCCTTGTCGGAGTAGTTGACCACCGGCCCGAATAAGCTGTTCTGAGTGGATTTCAGGGCTCCAATGCATAAGGGGTTGGATTAGGAATACTAACTGACCTTTCTGTACAGTTCATCCACAAAACTGACCTGCATCTGTGGTATGAGTTTGTGTTCCGGAGGGCTGTGCACTCCGTCAAATCCTGATGTCGGGATGATGTAGCACCAAGCACTGGATAGAGGCTACGGGGACACAAAATAAGCTTTGAGAGGACTTATAGGATATATATAGATTATTTGCAGTCCCAAACTTCACCCGCTGGTAGCCACCGCTGACACAAAAAATGTTGAAAGTTGGCCCATCTAATCTTGGTGCTTTAGGGTTGTGCAAGGCACTGACACAGGGATAAGCCATATCCGCCAGTGAAATATTTATTTAAATCAATTTTCGGGTATTCTTGAGACGTAAAGCAAGGTTGGCCACCCGTTACAGGAGCCGTTCGCCTGTGGTAGGGGTTGTCAAATTCCCCGGTCCAATGCAACATCTTGATGATTCTGATGAGCCTGGAAGACAAAAGGGAGCCCATATTTGCGATCCAATAGCTGAACGAGTAGCCCCGAGCTAGAGGAGAAGAACGGCTCCAAAAAGTCATGGATTGGACAAGAACTGGACAAGAAACGCTCGCCGATCGGGTTTCGGAGTTAAGCGGGTGATCCTCATGCCCCCCGGACCGGGATCAACATCAGCACAGCCTTTGATCCGTACATCACTCCGCCTCCAAATATGCCATGAAGGAGCGTCTGAGGTCCCGTTCCCTTCCCTGGATACCAACTTCTAACATGCCTCGATAGAAATGGCTCAATGGCCCAAGTGGTCAACTACCTAGGTCGGTCAACTACCCAGTCACATATAGTAGTGCCGGTGAGTTTCCGCTTGGTTTCCGCCGCAATCCGGTGAGAAGGCAGTGGGTCAGCGTTGTGCACGTATGATACAGCAGGATATGTGATTCAAGCGCAATTGTAAGAAGACGAAACATCATATCTCACGATTCGCGACAGCGCGGGTGGAACCGCACGAGCACGTGTCCCATCGGCGATTGTTGAAATCGCACGATGATACTCTTCAGCCGCACCCTTCTACCAGATGCGCGTCTCAAGTAGCAGATCGCTGTTCCCTTCGAGCCCGATGCACGCCTTGAGGAAGGTTTCAAGTGCGTTGCGCTGACGGTTGAGGCTGTTGACGACCTCCGTACCTAGATAGAAATCTGAGTTTCTAGCGGAAAGTGGGACAAAGAACTGTAAGCTCACCGGGCTTCACGAGCGGAGCCTTCAACATGTATGACAGGAGCGAGAGCACGGGGTACAGAGGAGCGAATTGATTGTTGCCTGCATCGCTGTCCAGCTTGCGGTATTTGATGCGAGTCAGGAGTTCGGTGAGAATAGTGAGATCGAGGATGAGGGGCGTGGCTAAGAGCGAATCCTGTCGATGATTTAACTCATACCTAATACAATACGGGCAAGGAATCAACGGACCTCGCATTCGTTAAAGATGTTGATCGTAGAGCGCCCGCCGCAGAAAATCTCAGAGTAGTACTCATCGATGGCGCGCTTCGAATCGCCGACTGCAGGGACGTATTTGATGACAACCTTCGCATTGGAATGAGCGCGAGGAAGAGCGATAGACGCGATTTAAACACGCACGATGTGATCAGGATGCTCGCCCTTTCCGACAGCAACTCCCTTCGGTCCGACTTCCGGAGCCTTGTAGAGGAGGCGGTTCGCGTCGACCATATCGTCGACGACGCTACTCTTGCTGATCTCCTTGCTCTTGAACTGCGGCTCCGCGGACAAGTTGTGCCCGTCGTTGTTGCCCAGGTGGTTGTACGACGCGATTGACAGCGGCTTGATCCCCGCGTTGACGAGGAACTCAGCTAGGACGGACTTGAGCTTCGTCTGCCCGGACTTGAGATCGTCGCCGCCGATGAAAGACTTATGGCGCTCCGCGAGCTCGATGACGCCAGGGACGAAGGTGTTCTGCGGCGCGCCGTTGACAAAGGGCTCGCCCTCGAGGATGGCCGCGACAGCGAAGAGAGTCGAGGGCGAGACTTCCGAGTGCGAGGACTTAATAGCGGCGAGGAGGTTGTCCGCGGTGTCGTTGACGCCCGGGATGATATCGCTGTAGCGCTCGGTGTTGGCGGTCCAGAAGACGACGGTGCGGTCGAGCGCGTGCTCCGCTTTGAACTTCCGGATGTCGCCGCGGATGTGCTCGAGGTGCACCTGTTTGTCCGCGCCCGGGACGAGATTGTCCGCGCGCGCCTCCTGGTTAGCGGCGATGAAGTCCGGGTAGTAGATAGACGGGAGGGGCTTGCCGAGAAGCGCCATGTGGGGCG